AGAGAGAGAGAGAGAGAGAGAGAGAGAGAGAGAGAGAGAGAGAGAGAGAGAGAGAGAGACAGAGGCGGCGGAGGCGGGGAGCGTTTGTTTCGTTAGTGTGAATGAATGGAGTGTCGTTTGGAATGTGCCATGAAGGCATGAACAATGATAAATTCCTGTCTGGTCACCAGCATGGGTGAAGTTGTGATATTTCTGATGGCGATGGCGGCTGAGGTTCTGAGAGTTTCTGGCGATGGCTGAAGCTCTGAAGCTCTGGCTATGGCTGACCTGGCGACGTATGACTGGTTGGTTTGTCATTGTCACAGCTGCCTACGACAACAAGAACCATGGAGGCTTCGTCTTCAACCTTGATGAGGGCAGTTATGCTCTCGTCTGAAACGTTTGCCATGGCGTGCAACGGGAATGCTGCATTGATGTTGACGTCATCGCAAAAAGGATCAGCGATGAGCTTGTCGTCTTCTGGTGGAGCTGCAGGAGGAGGAGGAGGAGGAAGGATTCCTAATCAGGAAGGTTATTATGATAGCCGCATAATGTTGAAGGCATCTCAATTGCCGCAATCAACGTCGAGGTCCTCCTTTCTCTCGCAATCTCTGCGCTGCCACGTGTCCTCCTCCTCCTCCTTCTCCTCCTCCTCCTCCTGCTCCTCCTCCTCCTGCTCCTGCTCCTGGTCCTGCTCCTCAGCAGGAGAGAGGGATGCACCTTTCCGTAATATTAGTAACATTCATCTGCTGCCAAGACGGACACGTGATTGCAGCTTGACAAGGAGCTGCTACTGCCTCTCGCAGTCTCGTGATAGGTTAGCAGCAGGATCACGACGATCGGGATCTGCTGTCCACGTGGCAGCCCCCCAGGTATCCCTTCTGCTGCGACGATCCCGTAGGAGCTTTTCCTCCTCTTTCTCCTCTTTCTCCTCTTTCTCCTCCTCCTTCTCCTCCTCCTCCTCCTCCTGCTGCTTTGCCTTGTGCAAGAATCTCGACCCGGAGAGGTGGGTGTCGGATGGCGACGGCGGAGTGATCGGAATCCCGACCTCAACGACAGCCGGAGCAGTGAGTAGTTTGTGGAAGGAGGAGGAGGAGGAGGTCGGAATCCCGACGCAAATGGAGATTGACGAAAGACGAGGGGGGGCCAAAGGGAGCAAGTCGGGGATTCCAGCAGCCGCAGCAGCAGCAGCAGCAGGAGGAGGAGGAGGGTGTTTCGCCGTGAGAGCTGTGCTGCCCCAGCTGGAGAGGGGAGGGCTCTGTCGGGGCCGGGATCGGCATCGTCGCGATCGGGATCGCGAGCAAGCGATTCTTCAACGGGGAAGGAGATGCCTCAAGAAGAGGCGCCTGGGCAAGTGGTGCCGCCCGCTCGGCGCCACCATGGATTTCGTGACGAAGGAGGAAGATGATGGAGTCGCCATAGCCAACGATGACAGCAGTGGTTGGGCCGACGATGGAGCCGCCATAGCCAACAACGAGGCCTTCGTCTTCACCAACATCCCTCGACCGCAATGGCTGGAGAATTGGAAGCCGCCGTCGTACCTCTGGAGGGCCTTAGCCGCATTTGTTGTCGCCGGCCAGGTACACGTGTATGCAATGAACCTATTCGACACAAGTATTCTCTTATATTTTCTTATATTTATTTCTATTAAATTTTGAACTAATTGCAGGAAAAATAAAATAAAATGAAACTAGTCATTAAAAAATCAATGAAAAGTTAGTAATAAGCTAGGCTACCAGCCGGGGCCGGCCGGGTCCCGGGTGGCCAGGCCGTGCAAGGACCAGGGACGGTCCCAGCAAAAAAAAAAAAAAAAAAAAAAAAATCCGAAAAAAAAACTATGTTATGCAGAAAAATAAACT